CTCCCTCCCTCCCTTTATATTTATATTTCAAATTTGTCACCACCCATCTCACTGTGGAGTGACTCTAGGCGGTGGCTCAACACCTAAATTTCTATACTGGCTGTTATATTTACTAGTTTCCATGAAAAGGCCCAACCTATTTCACAGGGCTGTTATTGTGGGGAAAAATTGGAGGATAAACTGTTCTGAATGCCACCTTGAGCATCTTAATGAAAGATAGTATACAAATCTAACAAAAAATAAGCAGAATATGGAACTTAAGCTGTCCTTATTGTTGTCTAAGTTTTAACTTGCAGAATTTTTCTACCTGGAGAAGCTTTCAAATATACACCTTACAATTATGAATTCCATGAAAGCCTTGTTTCCAGGTAAAAAAGAAGCGATTGTTTGCGTCAATTTCCATTGACTGAAGTTTCCATTAAGTTGGATAGTTGTCCAACTGCAAAGATGAGGATGCTAACCACCACACATACTCAATATGTAAATTCTTTAATCTGGTAACCTTGATCTGAAGGCTTACTTTGTACCAGCAACTGGAAGTTGCTGCACATCCTGATGTGAACATTTATTTTGGGCCCAGTGAATAAGAGGTGTTTTACTGTGCCAACCCGCTTGCCACTGGTGGCATACACATACTGTAGATAAAAGAGGCCTGGGGTAACCGATACCTCCACTTGTCAGCCTCCTTTGGTGACCAGTATTACCTTTTCTGAATAGCCAGGCCCACAATTAGACCCTAGTATGTTTTGTTCCCTTGCAGTTCTATCAATTACCCTGTGGAATAACTTTCCCATTCTTTTTAAACCCTTAATTCCGTGTTTGGACTTGTCATTTCAAAGTGGAAAGCAATCACTTGCTTTTCTGAAATGTTTGAAAAAGCACTTTATTTTTATTGGTTCTGCATTCCCTTGCATTTACAAGTTTTTAACTTGCATTCATTTTCTCCAAATTTATCCACTGACTCATTTCAAAAGCATAAATATGTTAAGGATTTGATTGCAGCTTTAATTGACTTATACCTTGAAAAAAACTTGAGGACTGTGCTGATCTCATCAAAGATTCAATGGCTGGGGAAATCCCCACCTTTCTGCTGGATTTACAAGGTGGCAGTAGGGTTCCATTAATGTCATTTTAACAGAGAACACCATTAGGTGAACTCATGTCCTAAGCTCCCACTTTGAAGACTGCCCAAGGTTCCCAATACAATTTTGTTTGACATTTAGCTAAAGACCACCTTTATGATGTAACTGATTTTTCTACTCGGTTGGAGGTCACTTAAAAAGGTTTAATTGTTGCTCTTTGAAAGGTCACTATTAGTAATTCTTTCAAGCCCTTCTCTGTAAAGCAAAGTGCTGATTAGCATTACTTTCAGTCCTACCAGGATCTGACTCCACCACCAATATCCACATGACATTCATAGAATATATCAAAATATTGTCTAACTAAGTAAGATCCAAATGTCATTAGGAAGTCCCCTTCATGAACTGGTTAAGATTATAGTGAGTTATTTTGTTGCTGTAACAATAAACAGTTGCTGTTTATTATTATTTCACCCAAAAATGAGATGGGGAGATAGCACCAACAAGAGCAAAACAGAAGAGAGAGATCAAGTCCTATGCAAAACCAACATTTTCCATCTGTCCATCTTGAAGGGCTTACATTTTTTCAATGTCCTCCACACAGAAAAACCTCTATTTCAGTTTGTGGAGCATGTGTGTGTGCACCTGCGTGCACGTGTGCATGCACACACACACATAATTTTTATTAAAATTTTTTAAGAAAGAAGATAAAAACGAACAGAAGCTAATATAGAGTAGGGAAAAGAAAAGAAAGCAGAACTCTTTCTTTTCAGTTTGTGTAGCACTTTGAAGAAATAAGACTCAGTGTGAAACATATTGGGCTACATCATGAAGAAGAGTCAGAGGGTTGAAATCAGATTTAGTTTTATTTAGTAGAGTGATTGCATGATTCAAAAAATGTTTTGGAAAGTGTTTTGGATTTTGTGTGAGTGTAAAGTACCTCCTGCTATTCATTGAAAGCATCTCCTGCTATTCATTGAAAGAGACTGCTTTTTTTCAGGTTTCTGCATAGACCTGAAAAAAAGAGGTGGTTCTGCTTTTTAAAATGCTTCAGCTATAATAATTCTTTAAAGCACTGGAATCTTTCTAGCAATTTTTTTCAGGCTCCTATAGAAGCATGAAAAAGTTGGGCTCAGTGAACAGTCAAAAGATACCACATTCAAGCAAGTGCTAAAACACTTGCTTTGAATCATTTTGGAAGAGTGTGCAGACCTATTATGTAGAGATAATTTTAAAAAAAGAAGTTAGGCTTTCGGTGGCTATTGGTCTGGATAGGTGGTCTATTGTCTTTAGAATCAAAGGCAGCTTGTCTTATCATCCAATTGTTGGGATTCAAAAATAGAAGGGGGATATTATCCTATATTCTGCCAGAGTTACACAGAAAGCTGGATTTTACAGACCTTTAGCCTGATCCAACAGATGTTGCATTATGTTCTTAAATCCCATGAGACTCTTTCAAGGATGACTAAATCTGGATCCAGCCCACTGGGCCATAGGGAGGCAGGGTCAGAGAGGACTGAAATAGAGATGCAAGGATGAAACCAAAACAGATTTAGATTTCATGGCAACTGGAGATGAATTGTTATGAGCCATTTAAGATATATCTTTTGTAAGCAAAAGTGGGCAATCACAGTATCATTTTCAGAAAGGCCATCATTGTTCAGAATCCAGCTATATTGAAATGGGGAGTCTCCTTTTATTGGCTTCACTGCTTTAGCAAAACCATTTTTCTGCCAAAGCCTGTGGAATAGTGAAGTAAATGAGAACCACTCTTCCCCCATTCACCAAAGCCTGATTAACTCCCAATATGAGAGGAAATTAAGAATAGCACCCATTCTCCAGTATAGCTTTACTTGTATGTTCAGTGAACATGGGGGGGGGGGGCTGCAGGCTCTGCCAAGGACTTGCAGATCTGAAGTGAGTGAAAGTGAGTGTGTGTCTGTGTGTGTGTGTATGTCTGTATGTGTCTGTATGCATGCATGTGTGCATGTGTATATGTATGTGTGTGGGTGTGCGTGTGCATTCATTGAATAAGCATCACAGAAAGTTAGGTCACCATATCTGGAGTACAAGATTCCAGACAACCACTACAATAGGCAGCACCAGAGATACTGCTTTGATGCTAGGTAGTAGTTGTCCAGATTTTAGTTTTCTCTTTTCCCTAAGGGTGGGAAAAGCATAGCTTATGACTATGATGATAGTATCCTCATACTCATACATATTTCACAAATAATTAAGTGTCTCAGCATCCAAATGAGATGCGGAGGGGATGAAGTACAAGGAAAAGAGGTAATGATAATAATGGGTACTTTCTATCCCTCTCCAGGGTTGATCACACTATTGTTTAACTGAACCCTACTAGATTCTTCTTTAACTTTCTTTTAGCTGTTACAGGCAAATGGAACATCACCATTCATCTTCCCATACAATGTATGACTTTCAAATCCTGTCAGACAAAAGAAATCATTCTATAAGTCAGACAACAGGACTACAATTCCTTGCCATGCTGCTTCTGGCAAGAGAAGGCCAAGGTTGTGTTCCCATCTGCACCACTGGCCAAAGGTCTTGTGCCAGTGCTGGTTCAAGGGTATATGGGGCCCCTAAGCCACATTGACTGATGGTACCACCTCTTGCCAGGGCAAAGATTTGTTTTTTAGAATGATTCAGAAGAAGGGGAGTTGGTGCCCCCTAAGCTTTGGTGCCCAGGACCAGTATCTACTCAACCTTAGGCTAAAGCTGGCCCTGTCTCTTGCTATGCTCCTCATCTGTCATCTTCTTTTTAATCTGCTAATTGTGCAGGTTGGATTGTTCCATTATTCCTGGATATTTCAGGAAGGGAGGTTGCCCAGTGAGCCAGGACCCATTGCTAGTATGGAAAAGCAAACTTTGAAAACCAATACAATTTTCTTTCATTTGATGGCTTAATTCTTCTATACATAATACATATACTTTGGCCAGAAACTTGTCTTAATTTCCACCTAAAAACTGAAGTGAATAAACCAAATATCCCAAAATTGAAAATGCTTCAAAGCCAATGACTATTTTTTAAGCTACTAACACTTACATCACAAAGGTTCACTACTATGACTCACTCAGAGTGATTTAGTTACTGATTTTCAACTAGGTTTTGAGTTTTTTCCTTCCAAATTTCCCAGAAAAACACAGTTCTAGGTTCCTGAACAAACTGATACTTAGACTTTTTCTTGCCTTGTATGCAAAAGGGTGGGAAACAGGGAAGGAGAAGCAGTTAAAGTAATTTTTAAAGCCTACCTGATGGAGAGATATGTCTCCAAGAGATGGAAGGATCAGGTTTCCCTGTAGCCAAGCAAGCCAGTGTGATGTTGCTTCCTTCGTTTGCCACAATATCATTTGAGATATGACTTATCTTTGCAGAAACTGAAATGAAAGAATACAAAGGAGTTAAATATTTCCTTATTTATGAAACTCCTTTAAGCCAATTAATTTAATGATGTCATCATAGTTGCAATAGGATACTATTATATAACACCTTCCTCAATCCAGTACTCTTCAGATGAATTGGATTTTAAGTCACATAATCCCAAACAACAATTATCCTTGTTTCAAAATTGTATTCTCCAGGAAAATAAATTGTATGAGCCACTGAAACTAGAGAACATGAGTATGAAGGACTATTTCCCAGGCATTGTATTAGCACTCTGCATTGTGTTTCCCTGCTAGTTATTGGCTGTTACAACATTTAGCTTTACAGGGCTACATATATTTCAGGAATTCTGATTTTTTCCACCATATATTAAAGAATAATGTCTTCAGTGAGGGGTGTTTCTATCTATGGAGGCTTCCTATATAATTTTACAGAGTTCTGAAGTTGGAGGGAACAGATTCTTTGCTGAAGCTGCCTACCTAAACTGACTTTTGTAGTGCCCCTATAATAAATGTTCATGAATTACATCTCATTTATTTGCATAAAAGTCCAAAGAGTTAGTTTAGGGTGAAAAATAGTGATTGGTCCAAGATCACAGAATGGATTTCATAGAGCAACACAGATTGAAACCTGGGCTTTCCTGGACTTGAATGGTACTGTACAGCAATGTTATACTGTATCTTTGTGGCTGGACATAGTTTCATTGATCATCTCTCAGGGGTTGCCTATAGCCAGGATGGATATGGGCACACAAATGTGCCCACAAACACACATTGCTTTCTATCTTAGAGATGGGTGGAATGTGAGCTCCCATCCTTCACTTTTTAATTGGAAGGAGTGAGAAATATTTCTGATTATAACCAAGAACACCTGATTTTAGCCAGTATTTACCTTAAAATAGCCCCCAGTCACACAGGCTGTGTGTGACTCGGGACTACTGTAAGGCAAATATTTTCAAGGTCAAGCAGAATCTGTTCCCTCCAACTTCAGAACTCTGTAAAATTATATAGGAAGCCTCCATAGATAGAAGTAAGAAAAGAAACAGGTCTTTCCCACTCCCTCTTCCTGGAGACATTGCAGTCCCAGCTATATAAGCATTTTTTCAATAATATATTTTTTCTATCAAGGGCATTGTTATCACAGGTGTAATGTGCTAGAACATGTCACATGGCAATGTGAGCAGGACTGAAGTAAGTGGTGGCCAGGATCAAGCCAAAGTGAGTGGAGTAACTCATTCCCTTTCTCTCTCATGTTCCTTTTTCTAGTTTTCTTTCTGACATCTTCTCTCTCTCTCTCTCTCTCTCTCTCTCTCTCTCTCTCTCTCTCTCTCATATTTTCCTTATAATTCAGAGTTTTGCTATTTATCCACAAACCACTCAGGATCCTCCTGCTCTTTTCTGCCTTTCTCCAACAGCACCCTAGAATGGCAAAGACAGGCGGAATCAATGGTCAGTAATATTACATGATGTGGTCTTCTAATGATCATCAGGTACACTGAGAAAAGAAATACCTGTAATGATATGTATTAAGTTGCCTTGGTTAAACAGCTCTATAAAAATGACACAGCAGCAAAATCAATAAAAATAATTCTAACCAGCTTTCTTTCACAAGAGTTGTTGCAAGGCTGCACAAACGCATACCAATCAATTCAAGGCAGTCTTCCAGGATAGAAAGGAGTGCAAGGAATGTTTATTGAATCTGGCCTCAGGACATCACCCCTTTTGCACTGCCTCCTTGAAAAGCAGCCGTTCAGCATTTGTCATCCCTTTTTCATTTTTGTCTTTTAATTTATACTAGGTACCATTTTTCAGTAGATAGGAGGGGTATTGCTCCATATTGCTTCCCAGAGACGGGAAAAGAATTTGACAACATCTCCTGTTTATTTCTACAAAACAATTTGTTTACGTGTGGGCACAATTTCAGTGATTGATTTTTCCTGAGGAGACTTACATTTCAAGTGCTGCGTAACAACAAATGACACGATAAACACTTGGAAGGACCAAGCTGTGCAAAGCCACTTTTAATCCTCTGGGAGCCTTTAAGGGAGCAGAGTGTGGATTGTTGCCAGATTCAGGCACTCAAAGAAGGGATTTCTGCATATAGGAACATGAGCTATGCCTTATTTTCTTTGCTGCCCTCATTCTTTCCCCACTGTGCACACTGGAACCTCAATAGGTAGAGAGAGCATTTGTCTAATATCTGTTCCTGGAGAGAGATGAAAGCCATAAGAGGAAAAAAAAAATGTATTCATGCCCTCCATGTGGAGTTGCAGGAAACAGAATACTGGAGTACTCCTGGTAAGATCTAGCAAGAAGAAGATATCTTAAAAAAGGCTACAAGCAGCAGCAGGAGATGGATCTTCTTCTTCTCCTTTCTTGTGATTCAACTTCTTCTTTTCATCCTGTGATTTTGCAATTACAAATATTCAACAGGTGAATGCTCCTGAAATTGTACCTGATGACTAACTGTCATGCCAATGGTAAATTCTGTCAGAAAACAAAGGCTTTTTATTTTATCTAAACGCTGCTACATTTGGGAAACCACATTTTAAAAAAGTACACAAGCTGCTTTGGTGCCTTGACTGAATATACAGAATATAAAGAAGTCTGGATGTAAATTGTTTTAAATGAAGTGGCAGCTATTTTTAAGAGGCGTGAAATGCCCTGATGGAGAAGGAAGCATGATGTGCATATATGTTGTTCCTAAAACTCTGTGATAATCCAGACTCTGTTAGCCCAACAAAACAGATTTATGTGCCCCAAGCTACAGAAGAGGCTTCAACAGACACTGTACTAGGTTATTGATACCAGGATTGGCACTTCTCCTATATTATTTTACTAACAGGGAGTGTTTATTAAACACTTAGCTGTTTAAAATATTTGGAGGTAATATAGGCTCAATTTTCTCCCCCCATCTTTTTTTTTTTTTAGTCTAATCATTCAGAAACTTGCTCATAGACTGCATATTAGAAGTATAAATTAGACTAGGGTAGCCAGACTAACCTATTGAGCTTACCAATGCTTTAACAAATTCAAAATGTCCTTCCCTTCAACAGCGTTGCTGTCCTGATCGTCTGGATCGGATCATTTTTACTCTCGGCAAATCTATATACCACCAATTTGCAGATAACTGCTTTGTGGTCTTCCAACTCAGTCACTGCCAGTGCAATACCATTTCATTAGAACTACAGTTTCCTGATTAACCATTACTAGTTCTCGTTCCAAGATCACATTTCAGAGCTTTTTTATACTGACCAAACCAGTGCATTTTAGGTAGCATTTGATTCTTTATAGCCAAGCTAATATCAACACACACACACACACGTTGTTTCTTGTTTCTCTTTTGCAATTCAATTTAAGAAGTAAATTTTGCATTAAAGTTATGTCCAAGTGGTGCAAAAGCATCAAACAAAAAGACAATTGTAGAATTGGAAAAAAAAATCAATAATTCTCTCAAGAATTTTCCTGAAAAGTAAAAGCGTATAGAGTGTATAGAGCGGTAAGGATAAAGAAGCTGGCCTGTGTTCTTCCCTTAATCCCCAGAATTCACTGCTTTATCAGGAAAGAGTTCTATTAATGTACAATCCACTGGCAGATTGTGCAAATGTTTAAACTTCACATCAATACTATTTTATAATTCAGGAGAAAAAACAGATGATAAACTTTTCTTGAATAACTCTGGCCTAACTCCCTCTTCTTGTTATGCAGGTAAATAGAGATATGTGGATATCATTTTGATTAGTTAAATTTCAATGAAGGCAAAACCAGATCAAAATACAGAAATTGAAATATGATTGCAAGTGTTGTAGTAAGTGTTGTACTTAAGTATTGCATTCAACAATTTAAGTGTTATATTCAGCAATGTTGTTTATTTATTTATTTGTTGTATTCAACAATGTTGTTTGATGGGATAACAGCAGCAGAAATATATTCTATAGCAAGTGTCAGTTGCAGAAGAATTACAGCTGACAAATAGCAGCTATCTCATCATCAGGACCGGAAACTAAGACTCCTATAAAGTTCAGAGTTTGTTTTAACCAAGGGTGTCTGCAGGGTGTGGCCAAAAAGTCAAGATGGTGGCCACAATGGTGCCATTGAAGCTCCACATACAAAGTATAGGTAAAGCTTCAATCACATCATTGTGCCATCATTTTGACTTTTTTGACCACACCTGGTGGACATCCTGCTTTTAAAAATGCATAATGGGTACATTTCAGAAATCACCAAAGCAAATCACTAGGCTCAAGTATGAGCATACTTTGAGCACTGTGTAGTCTCATTCACTGTGTAAATGAACAGAGCTAAGAGTGTCTTTATCTTACTCAGAAACCAACTCTCTTTTGATATATTTTTTATACCAAGCTTGGACAGCAAGGATCATAGAATGAAAGGTCCTTAGTGGTCCTGCTATACTAAACCACAGATCATGCCACTAACAGCAACGCTGTGAACTGCTAAGTGTATTCCTTATTGCCTGGGCATGAATGGATTTTTCAGTTTCTTCATGCAATATTCCACTCTTTGCTGTGCTACTTTCCAAAAGTCACCATGCAGTCTGTCAGACCAGGTGCAAATGGTATGTTCCAAACATATTAAACATATATTTTTTTTATTTCAGTTTGTATAAGCAATACACTGACTTTACCCTCGCACCACATTAAGAAGCTAGTTTCAAAGAGTTGAAAACTTGACACGTCTAATTTAAATTTATTTAATAATTATTACTGATTAAATGTAATTATTATTAAATTAAATTATTTAATTTAAATGTGAAACTTGAATCCACAAAGTTCGAGTTGGTATAACATGATTGATTGCTGGTGTAACATGAAGGGTAAAACTATTTTGGGAGGGGTTTTTTTGGGGGGGGGCTTCTGGAACAACTGGCTTAACTGAAACTATACAGGGCCCACATAAGTGATAAGGGACATTTTAAATCTGATATTTTGTAATGGAATGGGAGGTAATGACTTGTAAGTAGGTAAACCTCTGAT